ACTTGAACCATACTATAAAAGTAAGGTAAGGTAAAGGTAAAGGCCCTCCCGTTGATCGTCGATTTGCTCGAGCGGGCCCAGTAACGTCTCCATTGGAGACTTTGTTGTTATTGTGTCTGGCATATCGAATACTCTCGGTAGCTTGCCGGGCTCTCCGAGAGGGGCGGAGGAATCGAACTCGCGTCGGCCATGTTGGCCGCTTGTAAGGCGAACGCCCTACCCGCTGTGCTACAGTAACATTATCTGCATAAGACTGTATCTGCTAAACACTTTTTTTCTGGGACATTATGGCACTTGTTTTTATCTTCCATTGAATATTAGGGGAATACAGTAAACCTTTGTAAATGGGAAGAGATGCTACTGCATTATTTATATACCTATCAAAGAATCCCATCTGCTGAGAGAACAATATTGATTCTGAAGTCTTCATAAATTTCTTTATGAATTTACCCCCATATCATTCATGTTTTGAATATAGCATGTATTAAAAATAGAAGACATGTTGGGAGTTTTCAGTGATTTAATTGAACTCCTTTGATAATTTGTATAACACTAACTCGGTATCAATTGACATTAATTATATTCCTATGAAGTTGAATTAAGTATATGATTCCATGTAATGGGATGCCTTCTAGTACAGATAGACTGAGATTTGGAACTATTTACATGTGCATTAAAATCAAAGATATATCTAAGTCCTCTTAAAAAGATATTTAAAATCACATGCCTGAGCAATAGTACAGTAGGAAGAATGCTTAACTACATATAGTGTACTTGAGTTCAATCTTCAGCACCACAAATAGTCCTTCAATCCCTCCAGGCATGATTTCTCAATGTAGAGCCAGGAGTAAACCATTAAGTGTGGCCCAAAAAACAAAACAAAAAATGTTTAAAATGAACTTTTTCATGTTCTTTTCTTTGATTACTCTGCTTCCTTATTAGCAACATAAGTAACTCATAAAGGTTATGCCATAGGAAACACACCACAGAACTTGAAAATAAGATAAATGAGGTTGGATTGTGTTATTTAACCTAAAATTATTAACTCAGAAGGAGCACCAAATAAAGGATGTTTGGAGGATCCTCCCAGGAGGGGAGATGCATGTCGAAAGTAGACTATGGACTGAACATGTTTGCCACTCAATGCCTCTTTTGCAGACCACAACACCCAAAAGGAGAGAGAGAACACAGGGAATTGCCCTGCCACAGAGATGGGGGGATGGGGGGATGGGGGTGGGAGGGATATTATCCATGGTGGTGGAAAATGGGCACTGGTGGAGGGATGGGTATCTGATCATTGTATAATTGAAACCAAAGCACAAAAAATTGTAAATCTACAACTTTAAAAAAAATTAAATAAAATAAAGGTGAAAAAAAAAAAAAAAGTAAACTCAAAAAATTACTTTCACAGTCCGGTCCATAATTTAAAGGTCATGAGTACATTTTTTACATTGCAGAGGTCTTGAGTTTGACCCCTAGCAAACATAGGGCCAGAGAGTACAGTGGGTAAGACCCTTGCCTTGCATGAGCCAATCTGGTTTGATCCCCAGCACTGCATATATTACCCTCAGCACTATGAGGAGTGCTCCCTGAGCACAGAACCAAGAGTAAGCATTCCTTCAGCACTTTTGAAAATGGGTCCCAAACAAAAGCAAGCCTACTGAAAGAAACCCTAGCAACAAGTGATCTGCTTAACACCACCCAGTTTTGCCTCTAGAAGTCCCCAGCGGTACCAAATATCAAAACATAATCAGCCCCCTCATAACAAGACTTCTGGCCTGCACAGATGAACTGATTTTTGCTGGATTGCTGAGAGTGGCCCCTGTGATCCCTGAGTACTGTTTGGTATACACCCCTGACTCCAGCCCTTGCTTTGAAGGGGCTTTCAAAGCAAGACTGAACTAAGTAATTGGAATACTTTATATAAAGAGAAAGCCAAGGCAGTGAGACTTAGCCGGTGGTATTATTATTCTGATATATTGGGGTGAGGATAGCCAGTTCTGATATATTGGGGCGGGGATAACCAGTTCCTAAGGAATACTGTTCAAGATCTATTTGTAGAAATGCGCAAACCCTACTTCCCAAACACAGTCTGCATATTCTCTTGTTCCACCCTGCATTTCCTCAAGGGCAAGGCTGTGAATCTCTGTAACTAACCTGGCCACAAGCATTCTAAGCATTTGGAATCCTGTAACAGCTGCTGCTCTTGTTCTAATAAGAGCCAATTGGCATTGAACTTTAGCCAGCAACCTTGGTGAACTGCTTAATGTGACTCATCTTCTGAGACGATGGTTAGTAAATAGTAAACCTGCAGGACCCGGGCCAATCCTGGCTGACTGCCAGCTCACCAAGGTACCTCAGCTTGCTGTGGCTTCTTGGCAGGCAGCCAGGGAACTTTCCCTGGGGTTTCCAATCTTAGTATATACTCTCCATTCAAACTTCTTCAGCAAGCAATACAAATCCTTAGAAAACTTAAGAGGATTTTTCTCTTCATTGGTTCAGAGTCAGCAGAGTAAGAAATAGATCAGGAAGGTACAGTGGCCTCAAGAAATGAACTCTGGTAGGAGAAGTGACATTAGTGGACTTTAAAAATGACTGAGGAGGGGCTACAGATAAACATGATAATTCATGGGATAGAGAACAAAGCCAAAATCTACACAGAAAACCAGATACATATTTTATATTTTAGTATCTAGAATCCCATATGCTTTAAGATACTGCCTTTCCTTAATTTATAATAGTAGTTGAAACACACAATTCTTTTATGAGGAACACATTTTTTCTTTAATAAATTTCAGAGAGGGTAAGTAACTTAGCAAGGTCATATAAGTTAATACCCTTTCAGTGAGAGAGCCAAGTTTTATCTCCAAGACCTCATATACACCAGGCTTCCTTCTTTAGGCTTAATTCAATAATAATACTTTATCATCACTACTAATAAATGGTCATATGAATAATTCATAGAAATAATTAATTCACTTGTCAAATATTTGTTAATATAGCCTGAAAGTTAGGCAGGGTCTGGATATTGGATACAGTAATAAGACTAAACATTATGAGAGTAGTGTCTAGTTCAGGAGATAAATATTGATCAAATAATTACACAAATTTTTCATTCCAAGTTCTGTCAGAATAGGTGCAGGGAATAATAAGTACTGATAATTTGAAACTTCACCTAAAAATTAAGGCTGGTTCTTTAAGAAAGATTTACTTGAGCTGAGAGTTGAAGGGAGAGATTTACTTGGATAAAGTGGGAAGGAAATTCATTAAATGTTTAGGGCCTATTGAGGCAGAAATGATGCAAAGTAGACAGAAGACACTAGATCTGTTTGGAAAACAGAGAAGGAAGGTTCTGGAGAAGATGGACCTGGAGAGACAGAGAGACAGAGACAGAGACAGACAGAGAGAGAGAGAGAGAGAGAGAGAGAGAGAGAGAGAGAGAGACATTCAGAGTGTCTCTCAGGCAGAGCTTCAGAGTTTCCCTTAGAGAGTCACCCAAGAAAATCATGAGCAGTCACCATGATTGATGAGATTATGGGATCAGTTGTGATCATGATGAATGTGTGTGTGCCTTTGTGACAGTTTGGAAGAATCATCATGCAATTTTGATAGCATCTGGAGTTCAGAGTTTGGACTTGAGTTCATTTAGAGCAGTAGTTTACAATGTTTCACTTGTGTGGATTGTTGAAAATAGAAGACATATTTCTCAGACTTCTAAAGAAGAATGTAGCACTGTAGCACCGTCCTCCCATTGTTAATTCAGTTGCTCAAGGGACCCAGTAACATCTCCATTGTGAGACTTGTTACTGTCTTTGTCATATTGAATACTTCACAGGGAGCTTGCAAGGCTTTGCCATGTGGGTGAGATACTCTCGGTAGCTCGATGGGCTCTCCAAGAGGGGCAGAGGAATTGAACCTGGGTTGGCCAGGCAGGCCACATGCAAGGCAAACGCCCTACCGCTGTGGTATGGAACCCATTATTTATAATGAGATTATTTCTGTTTTTATATTTATAACTACATCAGTCTTGATTCTAGCATACCAGATGTTAAAAGTTGAAATGATTTTTACAAACTGATAGGACATTTCTGCTCACTGATGACTATTAACTCTTGATGTAGTAAGACTATACAGTGATAACTGGAGAAAAAGCCTAGCATATTATTTTTAGGAACCCTATATTATTACTAATCATATCCCAGTCATTTTACTACCCAGTACAGTATCTAATGTTTTGGAAAGAGAAATAAAAGGGGTGGAGGAAAGAGTAACATACAAACTCAAGGAGCCAGGGATTGAATGTGGGCCAAGTTCATGGAAAACATGTGCCTATCTGCTGTACTCTGTTGACCCTAAGACATATACTTTCTTAATTATGCTATTCTTATATTCAATTTTAAATCAAACTAAAATAGTTATTTCACCTGAGATTAGAGATGCTTTGACAGAAAAAAAGTTTTCCCAAGCATGTATTTGTGTAAATTATTTCATAGGTTTTTATTTTGTATGTCAATTCCTGTATATACACACACCTCTTCATATAGTAGCTTGTTTGCCATGTTTGCCATGGTTAGTCAGATACATAGAAAATTTTCTTATCAGTAATTATACTTTACTTCTCTAAAACAAAAATGGAATTTAAGATAAAAATCAAAATTTTATTTCAAATTGAGGAGTCTGGGGATGGAAAGTTATTTCAGAGGGGTGGAGTGCATTTCTTGTATGCATGAGGTTCCAAGTTTGGCCCCTCAGTACAAACAGGAGTAACTGTGGTGTTCCCCTATTCCCCTGGTAGTTCCTGAGCCTACTGGGACAGCTCTCAGGTCCTCTAGAAAATGTAGATAAATTATTCGACATGAACTGCTTTGGGATGTCTGTGTAATGAAGAAATATGCCCTTACCTTGCTAGAAAGTGTCTAATACACTTCTTGTAGTAGATAAGCTTAATTAGTCACTGGTGACAACAATTGCTATTGGTCTGTCTTCTTGGTTCATTTCAGAGCACATTCAGAAAATGAAGGCACTCCATTACCATCTGCTGACTCCTGTACCAGTCCTACGAAGATGGATTTATCATATAGTAAGACCGCCAAGCAGTGCCTAGAGGAGATATCTGGTAAGTGACCTAATTGGCAAGTAGAACAAACCTCAGGATTTTTCTAATCTCTCCATTAGTATTTTTTATAAATTATATATTTTCCTATACTACTCTTATGGAAAAATGTGTTGAAAGTATCTCATGCTTCAGAGATTCTTTGGTAATTGTGTATTCTTAGGATAATATTTTTGCTCATTGAAAATTTTGTAAAGTGCTTTCAACGACTGTTATTCTAAGTCATTACAGTCTTCTGTCAAGTTAAATTTAATTATAAAAAAGCTGGGGAGTCTTTAATTACTGATAAGGCAACTCTGGAATATATTTGTATTAGTGTATATGGTTATAATAAAAGTATTATTAAATGTACATTTTGGTAAAAATCTGATTAGAAAAACATTTTCTATATTTTGAATACTATAAATACAATATAAATATAACACACATATATTCCAGAACTACTTTGTCATATTTTTAAGTGCATGGAAAATAATTCTCTATTTAAAGTCAAAGATCTTCGTAGGACCCAGAGTAGTCTAAGCATATATGAAACTTTTGGTGGTGGTGGTAGTTGTTGTTGCTATAATTGCATTATATACAAGTATATAGGTCTATATGCATAAATTACTGAATAGGTTTCTAGGAAAATACCTTGCTTATAAGAGGAGAGATATTTCATGAAGCTTTAGTCTGTTTCTAATATTATGTGGAAGTAGAGATATATCTATTATTTTTTATTCTTTAACTCAGGCTTGTATTTTCCAAATTAAAGCACTTGAATAATTCTTAATTTAAAAATATACTCTTGTGCTCCAAGAACTGAAACATATTGTTCTGAAATGTATGGAAGAAACCATATCACAAACTTGTGGGTTATTTTTTTTCCATTTTGCACACTTTGGCAAACATCAGCCATTATGGCAACAATCATGGTTGGTTACTTACAACAAAAATAGATCAAAAGATTAAGAGTTCACACTAGAATTAAGCTCATTTATTTCATATGACATTAGAGATTTCATGGTAATTTCATCAAAGGATTAGTATTAGTATTAGTAAGGATAGAATTGATGACACCAGATTTAGTTATGGTATGGTATTTATTTATATGTTTGTTTAAATACTTAGAGGATATGCCTGCTCAAGCATCTCCATGGTCATATTGATACTATTTATCTGTATTGTGAGCATACTTCTTTAAACCCAGTGAGGCATAAAGAGTCATACCTTCCTATATCTCTTCATTTTTGAATGCCTTTAATTGGTATCATTATGTTAGTGAAAATTTTGGACCAAACCCTGTAAATTATGTTACCTAGTACAATTTGAATTATATTTTTAATGTAAATTACAGAAAGGAACATTACATTTTTCTAAAATCACTGAGGCTCTATAATGAAAACAAAACTTCATATTTATCTTTTTCTTAATTCTTTTCTGTCCACTATTCATTTCAAAAATGTTTAGTTTCCATTTAATGTTCTCATGTTTCAGAGGAATACTTGAAAATGAAATATAAATAACACTTGGCTGCAATTTAATGGATTTATTAGGAGATATAATATCTTATAGCAAAAATTATCTATGTATAATGATAAACTGTATACCCCAAATTAAATTAAAATATAATAAAAGAAAAAATAGCAAATAAATTTGCTTTCATAATGTTGATCTGACAGTGTATGTTTAAATTATCATTTGTTTTAAATAGCCTCTACAGACTGGAGTGATAGCACAGTGGGTAGGACAAGTTGTTTACCTTGCACACGGCCAACCCGGGTTCGATTTCTAGCATACCTTATGGTCCCCTGAGTATTGCCAGGAGTAATTCCTGCGTGCAGAGCCAGGAGTAACCCCTATGAATTGCCAGGTGTGATCCAAAAAGCAAAAAAAAAAAAAAAAAAAAAACTAAAATAAAATAAAATAGCCTCTAATAGTTGTAAGAATTCTCTGTGTGACCCAGAGATATTATGGAACAAAGTTGATAATCTTTTCTTTTTAATAAATCATGAAGTCAGTTATACTGTTGTAGAAATCTTGATGGGAATATTCTGGTAGGCCACTGAGGAAAGAATTATTGTCATGTGTGCATTGTCCTGGCTTTACTTCCAATGATCTTGTCTTTTATCCCTCCTAAATTGCCTTTTTTTATGGTCATACCAGGTCTAGGCATTATCAAAATCTGCTACTGATCCAAAACCCCACTTTCACAAACTCCATTCGGGTTCTGTATGCCCCTGTTTTTTTGTTCCATCATCCACACTAATGATTTTCCAGAATTTCCAATTACTTGACCCTTGAATGCCCCTCACCAATTTCTGCATAATCCTCCTTCCCTCCTTAATAAGTTGAATTCCTATACTAACTAAATATCATTTCACTACACATATTCGCATAAACCCAACAACACTTTCACTTCATTGTATCATTTGGGGAAGTTATATATCCAATTACGTTTGACTCCCCACTCTTCCATCCCAGCTAATGAATGGATTTAGAGAAAAACACATAATCTCTTTATAGGATTGACTCAACATTTGTGGTTACCAACTTCAAGTGAATATTTGCTATTGTCTAGCAACCACTCCATGGTTGTTTGGTCCATTTTTTAAAAAAAATGTTTTTGTCATATAGAAACATACCCAAGTCATCATAAAATCATATGGCTTTCCTTTTTATCCCAACCCATTGAAACACTTATCCTATTCCTTCACTTTTTGTTTGGAGGAGCCTCTCAACTAATGCTGGAAGGTCCTTTTCTAGGGATACTCAGCCTGGCTGTGTGAACCTGGTGACTCAGTGGTTGGACACAGTGATACTGTGATGTTCGGGCCCAGAGGTGTTCGGGGTCAGCTGTATGGTGGCCTTGCAATGTTTTGTTTGATATATGTTTTCTTTTGCATGCACACAAGCTCTTTTACCCATTTCCCTCTATTCTATCACATATCTTAATTGATGATCTTGATGTTGATTCACAGAAACAAAAATAAAGCCAGAAAAAAGAATGTTTTAAGCCCTGTTTAACAAGATGAAAAATTTCTACTCATTTGCTTCACATGTTCCTGGATTATTTTCTCCTCTACCTTTTTAATTTCTTTCTCCTCATTATTTTATCCTCTTTGGTTCCAGAATGCTCCCATATACCAGTCATACATTTTTAAAAGAAGATTTTATTAATAGCCCCCTTGAACTCTGACAACTCTGAGATTATCAGGTGGGGGTTCAGTGCTGGGACAGACTATAAGTGTCATAAATAAAGTGATAAAGAGCTTTTAATACTTAGGTGGCAGTAGAGGTATAAGCACTAATATGCATGTTATTGGACACTGTGATACCTAAATAATGATAAAATTTAATTCAATTTGATTTAAAAACAGATTTTCTTGACCCATTCTGCCTTTTCTTTTTTTTCTGATATCTGTTGTTATTACTATATCCTAGCTGCTAGGAAATCTATAAATGACATAGGCACTTTATCACTAAGTTCCCACTTTAGAGTGAGTTAGAGATACTTGCCACCTACCTTAGAGGAAAGCTGGAGGGAGGAGGGGCAGGAGGTAAACTGGAGATAATTGTTGGTAGGAAATGTACATTGGTGAGGAGTTGGATGCGTGTACATTGTATGGCTGGAACTCAATCGTTGTATTACTGAAACTCCATCATAAATAGCTTTGTGTCTCATAGTGATTCAATAAAACATTTGTGTCTCATAGTGATTCAATGAAACATTTAAAAAAAGAAAAAAAGTTCTAAAAAAATACTGGACTCTTCTTGCATCTATTTAGCAATTGTAATTGTTTCTTGGTTATTTTTTGGTGAAGTGTCTATTATATTTTTAAAACTATTAGATTGTTGTGAGATAGGCTTTAATCTTCCATCCATCTTTTCATTAATCATCAGTTTACACCTGCTGGTCCAAGTTCTCCTATGGAACACAAGCACAGCTCATAGTGGGAACAACTCACTTAGCTGGAAGGAGTTATACAGAACATAAAAGAATCATTTCCATCATTTCTACTGTAGAGGTCTAATAGTTGAAAGAATTTGGGATATAACAGTCCAAAAAAGAATAAGTTTAATGGTTTAATGAAAATAACCAGGAATAGAAATTCCACCTCAAGTATAATGTTCATATAAAACTAGGCACATCTTTTAAGTCCATCAGAATCTTGTTAACTTGTTGACTGTCTATACCCAAAAGTTTTCAAAATTATTGATACTGTCAAACTCTATTTACTTGATGTTTATATAGCAGCCTTATTTGGGAGAGATTGTTTCCTGATCCTGGGATAAATTGGCCTTACTGATGTACAACTCTGGTAGAGTTGGTCTTTGCGGACTAAGATTTTTATGAATTTTTGTGATTTTTTAAGTCTGTACAACTTGGGGAAGCCTTAAAATATGTATATATTATATAATAACGTATTATTATATAATGTATTATATATAATGTATTATCTTTGTGCACATATATTCTAATATATATGCACACATAAATTACATACTGTGTCAGAATCTGTGGGATAGTACAGCGCATATGGCACTTGCCTTGCATGAGGCCAACATAGGTTCAATCCCCAGTATCATATATGATCCTCTGAGCTCACCAGGAGGGAATCCTGAGCACAGACCCAGTAATAATCCTTGAGCATAGCTGGCTGTGACCCCCCAAACACAAAGAACCAAAACATTATATACTGAGTCTAGAAAAGGGTGCGAGTGGATAAAAATTTATATTAAGCACTGTATATTTCACACAACCTTGAAGTCCTGGTCAAGATCTACCTGTTTGCATCTGTGCCCTATCTACTATGAACACCACTTGGTTTTCTCTGCAGGAATCAGAGCCCAATCAGATCTAATCAGACCAACTCATTCTCAGTTACCTCAGTGACTGCCTTTCTCTCCTCTACTCTCCCTGTTCTCCCATCCCCTGCCCTTTCCATCCATTCCCTTCTCTTTTGGTGTTTGGGTCACACAGCAGAGCTCATGGTCTATTCCTGCCTCTGTGCTCAAGAATC